TCGAACATAAGAATGCCGGTGTTCCAAGTTGGTGAGGATAGTGGGAATCAAAGGTTCGAGGAGTTCTGGTTCTCGAATCTTTTGCAAGAATCGAAGCGTGCTGCCGCGAATGTACTCGTTGGGATGCTGCAGATCGTTTCGAATGGCGTTGCAGACGAGAATCATTTCCTGCTTCAGCTTGCCCTGATCATCGTACTTGGGGCACACTTCCCAGTAGAAGTGCAGCATCTTCTTTAGCGGCTTGCTTCGCGAGGGCAAGACATACTGGATGATCGGCATGAGCAACGACGGTTGAGGACTGCCGTTGAGCGTGGCCACAATGATGCGCCGGAGAACATCCAATTTGAGATCATCGTCGGCTTTTTGAAGTATAGCGCGCGCTTCGCTCGGTTGCAGCTCCGTCTGGTCATCCAGAGGAGCGACGACGGTGTATGCGTTGCTGTCCATGCTGGGCTACGCGCAGCCTCGCAGGGCGTTTGGTCGGGCTTTCGTGATGATGCGCAAGAAGAAAGTGAGGGAACAAGATGTGGTTTGAGGTGGATTGCAACCTTTAGCTGCGGGCTTTGGGGTCAAGAAGTGATGAAGGGGCGGGCCTGCTGAGGTGATTAAGGGGTTGGTTGTGAAGCTGTACGCCGTGTATGCACGAGGTGGCCGACACGTTGGAAGGTCCATGGCAGCCTGATGCGCCCTGTCGCTGCCAGCCACGTCGCGAGCGTTCGGCCCACATCCAGCGCCCGTGCACTTTCGTATCACGTGACCTCTGTGCGCGGCCCTTCTCTCCACATCCACGCGGCGAGGAACAACGCTGTTCTAATTCACTGGCCCCGCATCCTCATCAGCAGACTTGACCCCCTTTCACCACTCCCACCGACTAGCTCTTCCGAGGGAGACTGCGATTCAGAAGCTGCTGACCAATCGTCGACGCCAAAGTTGATTCGTATAAGCCATCTGAAGCTGCCGCCAAGATGGCATCCCCGAATACCAGCACGATCAGCCTACATGCCGCTCCCCTCGTTCTCTACCGAGGTCCGCACACCTACCTTTCCTTTACGCTCTCAAGCGCCAGCAGCGACAACGTAACAGATTCCGTCAAAGTTCAGCTGGTTCGAAGAGGCTGGAGAGCGGGTGTATTTGGCTGGAATGCCGCTAAATGGCTGGGTGCAAGAGAACGAGGTGTGGATGTGACGCCGGTGCACGAATCGGATTGGGAGAACGCCGAGCTGGTTCAAGACCAAGTACCGACGCAAGCCATCTTGAGTGCCAAGAGGAGGGCAAACATTCAACAAGACTTGGCGCGCAAGACGGAACAAGCGCAATCTCAAGCCTTGGAATTGGGCGTTGAGCCACTGCCTCGGTATCACACCACCATGACTGTTCGACTGCCAGCGAGCGAAGGCGATGGGTATTTTCATCTGCTGCTCACCACCAAGCAAGGCGAGAATGTTCGATCTCCAACATTCCGCATCTACAGCGTCTCTCTCAGCTCAGCATGTCCTCGAGGAGCTTCTTTGCTACCGCCCACCATCATCCCCGAGCTCATCCTTCGAACCCTCTCAGCAATGTTGTACACCGCACTGCTCGCTCTGAGCCCACTCGGCTTCCTGGCTCGCTTTGCACCCCGCGGCATCACACGATGGGTGGGCAAAAGAGTGTACAGGGCGGTGGGCGGCAATGAGAGGAGAGATGAAGCGCTGCGACAGTACGGAGTTCAGGACAAGCTCGACAGCGCCAAAAAGGCCGTGGAAAGGGTGCCCTTTGCTACAGCCGGCGTGAGGACTGCTTGGGATGTGCAGAGGGATCAAGAGCTGGGAAGGGGCGGCGTGCGGTGGATCAGACGATGATGTTGGTTAGGTTAGGATGCGATATGGACGTCAAGTCTTCCTGGACGCCGTTGAAGGGTTGCACGTGTGCCTCCATCCTGACTTGATGAGCATTGCAAAGTGGCAGCTTGCAGCATTCATGATTGTGTACGTTTGCCACAGCTTCGCACCTCGTATGTAGATGTCGCAGTGATGTTGGATATTGTCAAGTTGAATTCGCATTGCAAAGGTGATTTGTCATGTCATGAAGCTATGCACCTTCTAGTGACTGTGACTCGCGACTTTCTTCTATTTAGGCTCGACTTCAGGCCAATCAACCAAACCCATCACGCGAATTCCTGAATCTGAAATGACGAATTATATGTAGGTACCGGTATGTGATGTAAGCGCGACGCGTCTCCGCCATTAATTCTTACCCGCCGAGTCACGATTCGGGAAGACGACGAGCTGCAAGCGCATCAAACTTAAAACCGTCCTTGGTCCCTGACCCTGTCTCTGCATCCCTCTGTCTCCACACAGCACCCCTCCTTCGCCTAGCTGCGCGTCCAAATTGATGCTCGCTCATCTTGGTAGACGACTTGCTTGTCAGCCCTAAACCCTAGGATCATGTACAGCGTAATCCTCGGCCATGTGAGAGATGACTAGCTCGCCGATGCAGAGCTCAGCCTCGGCTCGAAGAACGGACTCACGCAAGTCTTCCGACGACAGCCCTCCTACATATCCAAACGCATATCTTTTACCATCACCATCACCTCCTTCGCGCACCAAGCACTTGTCGATGTCGCTCAAGGCAGCTCTCGAGCAGGCCGAAAAGCCGATGGCT